CTCCATCTTGGGTTTTCAGGTGGTGTTTTTCTACAGTTGCAGCATGCAGCCAGGTAAGTCATGCCTTCTACTAACTGTATGTAAGCCTGCTGCATATAGCCCATTCTCTTTCTGTAATTCCTCCATTTGTAGGCGTTTTAAGAAGAAGCCAGCTGCTGGATTCTCTGAAGGCGTACCTGAGCAACAAGGAGAGACTACAACCCATAATAGGTGTGCCGCAGCAAATCCCACTTTTAGTGTGTAAACTGTTCTTTATTCAGTGTGTGCTGAAGTAATATGTGTTTTTAATGTGCACTTAGGCTTGGGCTGCATTACAGAATGTGTGAAGGCTGGTGCGTGGAGCACAGAAGCGCTGTACGTGTGTGGGGCGTGCGTGTGTCGCCTCAGTAAGGCTGACATGCGTAACCACATACTGGGAAGTCTCCACAGATTCAACTACATTGTAAGTAGTACTGGAGAAGGATTGGTGACAGCAGATCATGTGCTGCGTTGGATTTTACTAACAGATTATGGTTTGTTTGTTTTTAAAAGAAAACCTGGCACCCTCACTTGGTATCTAAATGGCAGGAGAGCTCCGACCTGTCCAAGCAGGCGTGGCCGCTGATGGAGATGGCCAAGAAGCTTGAGGAAAAAGAGGGACCGGGAGACATCCAGGTCTGTTGCTTTTATTGTGCGTGCTTTCTTGTAGTCATAAACTGCAAATTATTGTGGATGCTCATATGTTTTTGCACCTTCATACGAAGTTGTTAGAGGTTGAAGATGGTGTATACCAGAGGATGGAAACATCCAGTGAAAATGACGGTCAGTGAATGTTTGACTGTTCTTTCCCCATCTCACTGTCTTCTCTTGATTACTCTCACTTTTTATGTTTTTGGCAATTTTTCTGCATGCACGTGATTATTTTTCCCTTCATAAGTATCTTTTCATCTCTCTGATACTGCAGCAGTAACTCTCATAGGTTCCTTAAGAGATGCACAGGGTGAAACTGAGAGTTATCCAGAGACTACAGCTTTGCACTATCCCACTGAATCCCAGAGGACTGTAGTGTTTGCACAGAACCAGCCCACACGGTCCAAGAAATCCTTCAAGGCTGACACAAACTCAGGCAAGATCTCAGCGCACACTAACAAGCCAGCACCGCAGCTGATGCATGCAAACTTTGATCCTTCTGTTAAGTCAGAGGTCTACTTAGTCAACCCGTTCACATCCCAGTTGGATTCTCCCGAACCCTTTGTGTTTTCAGAGCACACCAGCAGCTTTCCTGATGACTACACTGGAACCAAGACTCTCATAGGTGAGAACACACAAAGAATGGCACCAAAAGAGTTAAAAAAACCCAAAAAATAATAATAATAAAAAAAGGCCTTGAAGTTGCACGGTTGTGGCGGACCGCAAACTCTTTCATGTGTCTCTCCAGTAAAGTTTCTCATCTCACAGTCCAACTCCAGTCTCGAACCACAGCTGCTGATCGTAATTCCCATGAAATGGAAATGTTCTTTATTTTTTTGTTTCTCATGTTTTCAACAGGTCTCGACTGTGTGGTCGAGTATAGAAGTGAAGATGGCTGCTCTTACTGTTTCTTATGCCACTGCTGCCGCATCAAATCCAACAAGAAGGACATCACTGAACACCTGACCAGCCCCTCACACCTCATCAACTACTTGGTCTGTTTGTTCTGGATCAGTTACCAGAATAGATTATAGCAAAGGTTCTTTAGTATTATGCATGCAAAAAGCGAGGTAAGTATAGTTTAAAGTTAGTGAATATAATTTTTTATAGATGGAAACTCATCCTGAGGAGGTGACTGCGGAGCTTAAAGACAAACCTCACCTTCTTCAGTCTCTGGCAAAGAAAGTGGAGCGAGAAACGGGGCGAGGAGAGTTGAAGGTATCCCTTTTTTCTTTGCAGCACAGAATTTCCTGCTGGGATTCTGCCACATGTGACGTGACTCTCAGTGTCTTTTCCCCCAAACAGTCTTGGTTTCACCTGTACTCGTCTGTCCTTTAGTTTATAAACCTCTCATGTTCTCAGGTAGTGCATGTTCCAGAAAACCTTTGTGCGCTACTCACTGGCAAAAATTACCACTGGTGTAAGTATGGGTTATTTTTCTTTTGCTTGGCCATAAACCATTCACTTCATTTTCTACATCTCTGCTCTTGTAAGTATAACATTTACCTGCCTCCTTTTTTTT